TAGTTTGTCCTTTGTTTATAAACTGGGCAAAATCTTTAATTCAACTAGAGAAAGATGCACAAGATAAAAGCACAAGATAAAATATATTTGGAGAGAAATTGTAGGTGGCCTATTCTCCACATCTTTGAGTGCTAACAAGGGGAATTCCCATGAGATAGGCCCTGCCCTCAAGCAATCCACAAGTATTTTTGCATTTTGCCCATTTGCCTTTAAAGAACTATAACTCTGAGCCAAGTAACTAGACCTAGAAGTTACGCATTCTGTGAAATCATGAAGTCATTGTTCTTCTTGAATAGGCTATTGAGGGAACCAGCAGTTTTTTATTGGTATTGTGAAGTTTTGTGTCGCTATTGCTTTGCTGTTGAAAGAAGCCCTTCAATAATTTAAACATGTGAATCCTCAGAGATATGGTGAAGTGATAGGTATTATCCTTGATTCCAACCCTGAAGAGGATTGCAGTCATACTTATGCGATTAGTGATGGCGAAGAAAGTGATAACAAACAGGAAAGGGAGAAAACTCGATCTACTCATTCATCTGCTGGTGACATTGAGGGGGGCTAGCACCTTTTAATCTCCCTTTTTTCTGGTGTTGGTGACATTTGTGCTCATCTCACAATGAAAAGCACTGAGATAGATTCACATTGTTGAACTAATTATTTTGAGATAGTGCTTTTCTTTAACTTCATAAAGATCACAAATAGTTCTATCATTTTGTGTTGTGATTGTTTTCCTGATTTGACTCAATTACCTGGGACTTACATTAATGAAACTTGCTGATGGTTTGAGGGAACCACTTGCAGGTCCTACTTCTTTTTCCCTGCAACTAATGATGGTTATTGTGTCAATATGCTTGAACTCTATATTCAAACAAACAAAAAGATAGCAAAGCTGGCCAGTGCTGAAGGGTATTTCACCCTTGTAGCTCTCATCACCGAATAGAAAAGACGAAAAAGAGGTGGCGTCGGTGGCTAGTGATTAGTCTCTTGGACTCGCAACCGTAAGGTTGTGGGTTCGAATCCCGTCAGGGGCCCAACATTGCGTCCTTGGGAAAGGCACTTACAACAAATTTTCCTCACTTCTCCCAGGTGGAAATGGGTGCCCAGCTATAGACAGTGAAAGATCTTGTCAGTATGATAGTGTTTGAGCGCGTGAAATCCGCAACTTGCACTGTATGCTTCCGCGGAAGCTGAGAATGTTTCTGAGTGTTCTCAGAGGGTCTGCTGGGGTAATAATAGTTGTGAAGCGCGTAGAGCAAGCTCTTGAGCATGGATATGCGCTATATAAATGCAATTATTATTATTATTATTATTGTTATTATTATTATATCTGTCTATCTCTAAGACCCAGTCTTGTCAGATTTAGATCACCCCCTCCCTCATATTTGGCAGGATGAGGTCTATCTTTAAAATAACTTCTTTGTCTTGGAAGTGTTTTTGAGTTGTTCATCGGTCTTAAGTCATGTTGCCAGAGGTATCCCTTTTGAGGTAACCTTTTTTCTGCATCTTGTTGATTTGAGTCAAGAAACCACACCCAAGACTGTGGCTTGTCTCCATCTTAATGAGAGGTTCATGACTTCTAGCAAAAATTGTTACATCATTTGACCTCTGGCCTTTCAGTTGGGACAAAACGACAGCCTTGCAAATGACGATGGTGATGACGATGATCCTTTCAACCCGTTTAACGAACCGGACGAGGAGGCGGAAATCGACAACAGTCAGCTTCCACCTCGAGTCAGCACCTACCACGACGACAGTGATGAAGACATGTTGCTATAGTCCGTCTTTGTCTTGGTCTCTCTTTCTCTATTTCTGTCTATCTCACTCTCCCTCTGGAGCAGGCTTTTTTTCTGTCTTTTTCAAATTGGCTAGATTATTGCTAACATAGTCCATGCCTCTGTCATTTTGGATCTGAAAGAGGAGGAAGAGCAGGCAGTTCCTTGAAAAAGGTATGAGATGAGGAGAGGTGTGGAAAGAGACGGGGGGATGGGCTGGTTGGAAGAGATGCTGGGATAGGTTGGGAGAAATGAAGCCTGTTTGCTATCTGCTGGAGCCATAAAAATTTGAATATTGCTTTACGATGATTGCAACTGTAAGGACTGTGAATGGGGTTAGTGGGAGGCTGGTTGTTGCAGCAGTGAGGGCTAGGCTGAGACTTATGCTCACTGTCCTCCTGACCTTCTGTGAGGGATTTGATCTCCAACAAATGCAGGGAAAATATTGCCACTATTGACTGACCCAGTTGTGATCTTAAGTATTGTATATATTTAACACATAACCTACTATGGGAGTTTGATTCTGTTGCCTCCGTGCGCTCCACAGAAAAATCTTTTATATCTTGAGGACCACACAAAAATGTAAAAAAATTCACACTGCATCACAATTTATGAAGTGTGAAGTGTTTCAAGCATCTTGTACATTTATTCTCTATGTATGTCCTTAATGTATTAACTCCTTACAAGCCACATGTCCCAGACTCTCTCTCGAGTTTCTAGTTTAAGTTTCACAGAAGTATTTCATCTCATACATTTGTCTTGCCTTGTAACTAATAACTAAAGATAAGAATTTAATTTGATTTTGAATCAAAGTACATAAGGGAAGGTTGCTAAGCAGGCATTGAAAGGGACATAACTTATTTTCTCATTGTCTTAATCCTTGCATTGCAGTCACTACAACATGCCGTGTGTCAGGGGATAATAGGAACTAAAATTTCCGAATCTGAACTCATCGCATGAGCTGTAGGCACAGAGCGTCCCAGTCACTACTCGTTCTATTCACAGACAGGGCCACAAAATGGGTTAATGTATTTTGGACATTATTTTCAGATATGACTTGCAAGATGTAGAAAATCATGTGCTTGATATTTATGATTCAAAACTAGTTTGTCATACTACCTGTATTGATAATTGATATAATTCCTTTTGAAGTATTGTCAAAGGAGTGGCGGTGATGTTGGTAATGTTATCTCCTCGGGGGTCAGTTCTGATTTGGTTGTTCCTTTCTATTGATCTTCACTCCATCACTAACTTGTTTTTTACTCAAGCAGACGTGGTATACAAGGTCAGATATGATACTTAGTAGCCAGTAAATGTCAAGCCCTATATGGTTCATTATATTGTAACAGAGGGCCATGATGTAACTGTGTTTTGTTTCACCACTTACTTTATTTCCTTTATGATTTGATTTCACTTTCAACATTCATTTAAGACCTCCCTGACAAGACCCCCAAGGGAGCTTGTCACGTCTCTCAAATTTTTGCCTGTATTTCAGATGGTCTGAGCTTAGTTTGAACTGATATGTGGTGTAGTGGGTGGAGGGAGAGAAGGTATTGTGTGGAGAACTTGCTGTGAATACCTACAATATTTTCCTGCTTTACAAAAATACTCAATTTTGCAGATGGCTGTATTTTTTGGTCTAAGTTTGGGCTATTATTGAGGGGGGGAAAAGGGGTGGGGTGTAGGAGGAACCATAATACATGTTCATGTTTTTAGTGGACTGTTCCTTATTTGTCACCTACTGTAAGTCTTTGACTAAGAAGTTGGTGGGTTCAGAAACTTTTTATAAGAGTTTTTACTTTTTGTAATCATTTTGCATGGTGACCAGCACATACTCTGTTTGGGTCAAGATCTGTTATGTTTTTGAAGGAATTCTATCATCCCTTCCTGAACACAAGTAATAGTGACAGGTAGACTTGTAACGTCTGCATCTGACATCATGGTTATAATGTTGGTTTTCTTTTTAATGTATCGTTTACCAATTGTGTTTCTGAAAAATATTGCCTCTGATTATTACAAATGCAGAAGTCAAATTTGTATAATATCTTGTGCCTGACAAGCAGTAGCAGACTGCTTAATAATTTAGGCAGAATAGGAAAACTATATTTCGGTATCACGTCCAGCTTTGAAACTTGTCGGATTTGTCTACTTTGTCTGTGAATTTTCCCTTTAGTCCCATTTTTCTTCAGCCTACAGAGAAAATTTATAAACAGCTTAACAAACCATTGAATGTTTGCCTTCCAACCTTGTTTGTGTATTTGTTATGCATCTGAACAATTTACACTTTCATGACATGACAGTGTTGGGATTTCTTTGATTAAATGGGCTTTCATCAGTTCTGTTTGATGCTATGTTCGTCGCTGTCTTGTACAAGCCTCCCGTCTCCATGTATGGGCATGAAGGAGATGTTGACATGACAGCAAGGCTTTTATGATATAGAAGTACTTCTCTATATGTGTTGTATGAACTACATCTTTGTTATGTTGTATTTGGTACCTCTCATTCGGTGTCATAATTAGTGCCCTTCAATTTTAAAAAATGTTTCATCAAAGTATTTCTGTTTGTTTTGTGTACTGAATGCAAGTGTCATCTAAGTATGTTAGTGGGCACTTCACAAACATAAATGTGACCCAAAGGCATGTTGCTTTTCCAGCTCATGCCCCATGTTTTCAACCTCCTGAACAGACAGGTCACCTGCGTCATCTCTGTGAGACTTCCTCTTGACTTGCTGGCATATTGATGTACGTAACATTGGGCCGCAACTGTCAGTTTCAAAGGGGTTTTTTTCATGTGTATGGTGAGAATTGTTGTCCTTCATGTGTATATATATTTCAACTTAATCATCAGATCATGTTAACATTGCTAGATGTGGTTAACAATTCTTTGCCAAATATGCTAAAGAACAGACTGTATGTTCTTGTTAGTGGTACTGCAGTCGAAATTGTTCAAGATGGCCGCTTATTGTCAAAGAGAAAAATGTTTTTCTTAGACAGGTGTACCTCTTGGGCAGTGACATTATAATATTTAAAAAAATCAAAGCACAGGGTGGGGGGGGGGGTGTTTGTACAAGTGATTGTCTTAGACAGTTGGTTGTTAAAGCAGGTTTGACAGTAGTTCTATGTATAGTCCCATTGGCATACTGTGAAAGAACTTTGTTGTACTATCTGTTTGACTCCATATATCATTGCATGTTGTCTTAATATGTATGACTGATTTATTGTAAATGTTTTTTCTGCTTCTGTCAACACAGTATAGATCATTTAGACAGCTGTTAAGAATTGGAGCATGAAAGTTTGGGTTCCGTCATCAGTGTCAAGTGCACACTATGTGTGTCTGAAGATGAAAGGTTCATTTCATCATTTCAAAATATAAACTCGCGATCAAAGTATTATCTTACACAGGATAAAAAATATTCTGACTAGTGAAAAGCTGGGTGGAAAATGTGTCTTTTATCAGTATGAAATTTGACTGAAATCAGAGCAGCATTCTTTCTCACAGGAATGCTCAGCTAGTGGTTGTTAACAAAAAATTTGGCATAAGTATATTAGTTTGGGTAAAGATGAATTCTTAATATTTGTCTGTGAATCTGTCAACTCTGTCTGGCTTAAGTGATGAAACTAGCAGACTCTCCATCCAGCACACACAATACAGTCAAGTCCTCGTAAACGGAGCATGTTTCATTTGAAAACAACGGTCAACCGGAAAAAATTAAAAATCATTTTTTCCCCTTCTATTTGAGCAGCCTTTCTAATCTGAAAACTAAACTAAACCAAAGAAAATTCGGCAGTTCAGCAGATTTCGTTTTAATCAGACTCCACAGTAGCTCAATCCTGTGTAGGGACCCTTTTATTATAGTGTGCCCATTTCTCAGCTGGCTAGGATGAAGTGTCCTAAACATTACAAGTCCCAGATTTCCCCTTAAAGGCAGGGGTGAAGCAACACGCCTCCTAAATTATCTAAATTGTTTTTGATAGGAGGTGTAAGATGTGTACAATGAATCTTTGTCAAGGGCAGGCTTCTTCTTCTTGCATGTTTGTTGTGAATGCATGCATGGCTGTGTGTAAATTTTCAAACCTTTTGAATGCCTTTACAAAATCGTTTTGAAACAAGTTATGAATGTGAGGCAAGAGAAACGTGATTTGAGATTTTAATGATGTTTTGTGTACATTCCATCGAGATTTTTTGTCCCATCTCTTTCAAGCAGGTGATATCTTTGAAACTTCAGACCTGGATGAATATGACAAAATCTTGAAATAATTATGTCCCTGATTTTTTCCCTGTTTGTGTCCTCACAGAATTTCCATTTGATTCTGATCTTCTCTGACATACAGTATCTGTTACCTGACTTTTGGTTGTAATCTTTTTTGTTTGTTTGTTTGTTTTTTTTATAATTTTTATTTGAAGGCTTGTTGGCATATATAATTTGCACAATTGTACGATGTGATGCAAGGCCATTGTGTAAGGAATGCCATGGTGGATCCATTCGATTTTGTTCTAAGCCATTATTGAATCTGTTATTACACATCAACAGAAGATTGTGATCACTAACATGTAATTTGATACTTTATCTCATAAAGCACTACGGTAATGCAGCCTCAGAAAAGTCCATCCTCATGATTAAGCCCCATGTTGTGTTCAGTTGACCAGCTCCCTGTTTGATGTAAGTTTTTACTACAAGTTCCGATTTTTGTCCCGTCAGGTGAAATTGCACACAGCTTTCATCGTGCTCTGTTCTGCCTGTTTGTTGTATGTGTACCGTCCACCAATGCCATTTTGGTTTGGGACACTTTACTGATCTAATGTTAAAGGTCTGAATTCTCCTCAAGAACCTTTTTCTTCAGCGTTTTCATATCAGTAGTGTACAGAACCCTCAAGACTTTTTCCTCTGATTCTCGGTGTTCCTTATTGTCCAAAACTGCTGGAGCAATGCACGTCCATGCTGTCAGAATGTACTAGTGATGTAGCTCTCTGCAACATGTTTTCTTTGCTAAGTCATTTGTGTGATGAGGCAAGGAACACCAGGGGTAAAAAAAAACTCACTGATAAAGGTGGACCCATTTCAGGTCTCTGGTCAAAATATGAGTTCTCAATGCAAATCATTTTTCAGAACTTACCTTTCCAAAACCCTCAACAGAAAACTGAAAAATATTTTGAGACTTGACATTCTGCAAAATCCTCAAATTTCAAAAGCCTTCGTTATTATATCTGAGAATTAGTTTTTTGCTTCATTTTTCTTTCCTTGGTGTTTTTCCAGTGCCTCCAGATAATTGTCAACTCTCTGTCTTTGTAGGCTACTGCTTCTATGGGTCATTGTCTTTCCTAGCAATTTTTTGCTGCAAATGTGTATTGATGTGGCTCATAGCAGGTGAGTAAGGCAATATTTCTTGTTAAACGTTGGCTTCCCTGTACGCTACATCTACAAGTCACTCTGTACAAAAGACATGGAGTCAGACTTGAGTGTCACTGCTAGCGCTGTCTTCAGACTATCTAATATGATACTAATACGTTGTCAGCCTGTGGTTTTCATTCTAACCCCCAAAGTTCCTGAAATGCTGCTTTACTTTACAAAACCGATACTTATGACGTGCAGTGGACAACCTGTTTTTTTTGGGGGGGGAGGAGGGGGTGATAGTCAATGGTGTAATCAAACCCTTGACAAAGACGAGAAGAAAATAAGGTTTATTTTTCAAACATTGGATTGTGTGAAAGTGGTGTGAAATTGTACAGGTTTAATGCCCCATGCAACACTGTAAAGTTATATATAAGATTAAGAGGCTGTACTTCCAAATTTAAGATCCATCTCTGATGGAACTGAAACTAATGGCAAAATTCGTGTAAAGTGTCTTTCCCAAGGACACAGTCTCTGAACAAGCCAGACCTCGAACCCCCAATCTTGCAAATTCAGGATTGTGAGTCAGGTAGCTAATCACAAGTCTACGAACACCATGTTATTGTTTTGTTCCGCGACATCAAATGTTGAAAAGGTCGAGAATATTAAAGAGAATATTAAATTATAAAATTTACAGGGATTTTGATATACTGGCTACCATTTTGTCAACGACTTTGACAGTGTTTGTAATTTTGTCGCTGTAGGAACTCAGCTGACAGATTTTTATCTTTAAAATGTTGTAATAAACATAGATAGTCATTGTTCTCTTACTTTCTTGTCCAAGTTTTCACACTTGTTCAAACTGTTTGGGTTTTTTAAATGCTTTTTTGCCTTTCGTTTTGTTATATATATATATATATAATCACAAGTATAACTATATCAAAAAAGTAACTATGTAAAATGTCTCAGTCTGTGGGAGAAGTCATGTGACTTTCACAGTTCACTGTACTTGGTCTGAGGAAACATCTCAAGAGAAGGTAGCATACCAAAATTATTGATGTGTGCATTTTGGAAAACAGCTTAACAATGTTAATGGAACAAACATAATTTTTAACATGTTGAAATTAATGGGTTTTGTCTCTCTGCTGTGTTCTGTCTAGACATTTGAGATGGCTTTACGTTCATCCCTGAATGTTGTCATGGACTTGACATTTTTGTCCTCTTGGCTTATAACTTATAGCTGTTAAAATCATTGAGGAAAAAGTCAAAGGCCAATTTTCCGGAGCTCCGTTATGAGTACATGTACCTGTAGTGAGACACTTGTCGCAGCTTTTATTGTTTCAATGACGACTCATTATTCCCCCTCGCTTGAAAGCATGAACATAGATTTTTTGAGCGCCTAGAGCAAAGTCTCTCCATGTTTCCAGTGTTTCAGATCACACGCTGGTCATTGATTAGCTATATTATTATTCATCCTTCTCTCCTTCTGTAATTCTTGTATGTGTACACAATTGTAATGATGGTGTGTGGGGTCTTTATTTAAGGTACTCTATTTGCATTGTTGTATCTGTGTATTTGTCCGTCTTTGTTCTTTGTGTTGCTTTAAATTTATTTTTTTATACTAGATACTTGAATATGAAGAGGAATTAAAAACGCACTTGGAAATCTCTGTCTTGTGATTGGTCCAGTTTGTTTTCGTAGGATTGTGATTGATTGCATTGACCACCATAATAATATGGTAACTTTCTGGGAGTCTGGGAAAGTGGCTCTTATTCTGATAGCCAGGCATGACTTACATTGTTTGGCCGCTATGTATCTAAATACCACTATTTAATTCTCTGCATCATCATTTTCATTTTTTATTTTTGGCGGGGGGGACTTAACCATGAAGTAAAGTTTCTATATGGCATGCCGAAGTGCTCGTTTTGACTCCAAATAAAGTTAGTCCCCGCCATTTCCAGTGTACCGGTGTCTGTGGTGTAGCAGTTAATTCACAATAAGTGCTTTGCCGTAGCACCCCAAAAAAAACAGAGTTCGATTCCCATGTGGAGAGAATTTTTATCGAGAATCTCAGCTTGTACGTCGTATCCCTCTCAGCCCGGGTTGGTCCTGACGGGCAGGGTCGAAGCCCGCCTCATGAATGATCTAAAACGTTGTCGATGGGAACAGAAAACACGTATAATAAAATATGTAGAGAGAAAAATCCATCGTAAATTTAGGAAAACTCGATGGTGCTGTGAGCATGTTGCTCGAACTGCTCAGACAAAAACCCGTTACCAAGGCTAATCTACACTCTGTACCACTGAAACGGTATGTTGAAATGGTAACCGGTCATTTCGTCACACGGTCATCTCGTCACATCCCAATTATGTGTGACGAAATGACTTCGCATATCTCTTCAACATTGTTATATGCTAGCAGTTTTGTAGGATCAGCGTCAGCAGTCTTTTTTTTCCTAAATCCACCAATTCAAGCACGTAATTGTTTGGACGTGCCCTCTTGTTTTTAAATAATTTCAGCCTAAAGCTTTTTTAAAAGTTAGATTATTAATGTACATGTAGTATATAAATCTTGGTCTACTAAACTATTCCATAGTTGAACAATAGTTTAAATATAAGGCAAAAACAATGTCTGGTTTGATGTTTGCAAGTGTGTGACAAGTGAAAATGACCGTCTCCATTCAACCTTGTGGATTTGGGGTGGGACATGGCGTCTTGACTGCACCGGTGTGACGAAATGATCGGGTGACGAAAAAACTGGTATTCGTTAAAATCATGAGCAGAATCTCGGGGCGTTGCTACTGACTGAAATGTCTTTAGGCCATTCCCAAAGGAAGGACATTAACATGCTTTTATGCTCAGTAGAATTGTAAATGGGCTAATTCACAATTCACCAATGTCATGCTCATAACTGTGCCTGAACTGCATATCGGTGCTGCTACTGACTGGAGTGTCTTTAGGCCATTCCCAAAGGCCATTCCCATAAATGTGCCTGGACTGCATATGGGGAATTACTACTTTTTCTTTCCTAATCCTTACTTCGTCATTTTACCCCTTTTGTATGTTTGTCACTTTTATTGTGACCCGCTGTTTCCGGGGTGCCTTGATACTCAAAGCTGACTTTGTGCTGTTGAAGCTAGAGAGGTGAGCAGAGTAAGCCTGATTCCGTGTTGGACTTCTCTGTTGACATCCTCCCCTTGGCGTTCATATAACCTTAATGCAGTTGCGAGCGCCGTAAAAACTCTACTAAAACTTTGTAAAAAAAAAAAAAAGAAAAGAGAATGCCTGACGTCTGCCTGGATGGCAGGGGACCTGAAATTTTCATTGAGAAAATCGAATGTACATTGATAAATATTGTACATGTATCACACACACACACACACACACATGCACTCACACACACACACACACACGCACACACACATACGCACACGTACACACATAATCATATATACACATGCATTTAGTTGAAACTGTCTAAGACGGTCAGGGGGCTCTCGTGGCCAAGAGGTTAAGGTGTTGGGTGACCTTATTTAGGCCACATATGGCCTAAATAAGGTAAACCCCCCTCCCTTACTTTATTTAGGCCACAGGTGGCCTAAATAAGGTAAACCCCCCTCCCTTACCTTATTTAGGCCTCACCTTTATCATACAAAGTCACAGAAATATTCCTTTTGTGCTTATTGAGGTACAGTGCAGGGTGATTTTACCTGCAAGGATAATTGGACAAAATGGGCAACATCTTTATTGCTAATGGTCATATTTAGATAAATCCTATATCATTGTCTTTTTTTTTCTTAACTGCACATGGTTATTAAAGAGTAAGCCAACTAGGTAGTAATTTCGGATTCCTAATACTAATATTATGGGCATTCTTAAAATTTTTTAACTTGTTTTTACCGCTTTTCTCAACGTAAAACGGATTCCGTAAAAAAAACAAACAACAACAATGACCTTATCTTTCTTTTTCAAAGTATTGTGCATATATATGTGTGAAACTATATATTCTATGCTTTCATGTACATGAAAAAAGCTAATAAAGGCAAGCAAAATGTTCTTTAGATACATAGATCTAGTAGTAGGCCCACTGGAATCTTTTTATAAACCGGGAAAGATGACCAGAAAATAACAAAATTATTTTATGATCTTCACTTGCACTTGCAATTTTTTGGACAAATTATAGTCTACCTCATTGTCTTTTTTCCCCCGCAATTTTCTTCACTATTCATGACAACTGGCATGTATTGTTTTCAGTTATTATTAAAAAAGTGGATAGGCGGACTACGGGGTCTATCTAGCCAAAAGGATAGGTGGACCCCGGGGTCTACCTAACAAAATGCTAGGTTTTAGGATGTGAACCCCGGAGTCAGCGTAGTGAAATAAGTAGTAGATCTAGGTTTAACTAAGGATCGGTGGACCCCGGGGTCAACATAGTGAAATAAGTAGATCTCAGTTTATTTTATAGTAGGACTGGTGGAGCCCGTGGTCAACGTAGCGAAATTATAAGTAGATATAGGTTTAATTAAGGATTGGTGGACCCCGGGGTCAACGTAGTGAAATCAGTAGATCTAGGTTTAATTAAGGATTGGTGGACCCTGGGGTCAATGTAGTGAAATAAGTACATGTAGATCTAGGTTTAATTTTAAGGATTGGTGGACCCTGGAGTCAACGTATTGAAATAAGTAGGTTTAAGGTGGACCCCAGGGTCTACCTAACGAAATACTAGTTAGGTTTTTAGAATAGGTGGAACCTGTGGTCACCGTAGTAAAATAAGTAGGTTTAATCAAGGTGTCCCGGGGGTCCACCAATCCTTAATTAAACCTTCTAATTCCTCTACGGTTATGGTGACTTCGGGGTCCACCAATCCTTTTAAAATTAACCTTACTTATTTCACTACGCTGACCCCGGGGTCCACCAATCTTTAAAGAAACCTACTTGTTTCACTACGGTGACCCCGGGGTTCACCTGTCCTAAAACCTAGTATTTCGCTAGGTAGACCACCTTAAACCTGCTTATTTATCACTACGTTGACCCCCGGGGTCCACCAATCCTTACTTAAACCAAACCTTATTTCGCTATGGTGACTCCGGGGTTCACATCCTAAAACCTAGTATTTCGCTCTGCAGACCCCAGAGTCCACCTATCCTCTACAGGACTAAACTATTATCAATTTGCAATTTTCATTGATTAACATATTTTTTTTTAAATATTGAATCAGAGACTCGCTGTCTAAAAAGTCCACTGCTAATGCTATTCTTTTCAAAGAAAATGGCACAATTTGATTTTATGACATGTTGAAAAAAAGAGTTTTAAAAATATCCCGAAATCAACATAAAATGATTATATAGATCTCTCTCTCTCTCTCTCTCTCTCTCTCTCTCTCTCTATATATATATATATATATATATATATATATATATATATATATATATATATATATATATATATATATATATATATATATATAGACTCTTCCAGTCTCACTTTAAGCTTACTTAATCAAAGCATGTGACTGCTTATGGAGTGGCCCATGTTTGACAGTACACAGGTTTCTTCGGGTAGTTTGCCCCCATCCATCATGCCTGACAACAACCTCATCACTCACTTCTGTTGGGACAATTTTGACTTGAATGAGGAAACTTTATCAGGAGCTGGAACCACACATTCAACTCATAGACTAGTCATACAAGAAATCAAAGAGCAGCCATACATTCCCCTGCCAACACCAGAGGTTGACAGAACAAAAAAAAAGATCAATCCGCATTCCCAAAAAACCCAGCTTGACCCATGTTTCATCAATTCTAAGGTGGAACTCACCTTGATAACAAACAGAGTATCAACGATTTCAAAGTGTTCCATGAATAATTAAAACAAAAGGCAACTGACACACTTCTTACTTTATGTATGGCAACAAGATTGTTATGCAATGATGTTGCTGAACAGAGAAATATACTTTGCAAGTGACCAACAGTGCTTTGTCCTCGGTAGCAGTGATGGAAAGACTACAGACTCAAGACCTGTTCCTGAGTTATCCTCCAGCAGCGAGAAAGCAGACATATTACTGATCGTGCATGCCGTCTTCTCTGATCAGAATATTGCTACTCCAAACACAGTTATCATTATGCGGTCCCCAGACCTTGATGTCTTTCTACTGATGATTGCATTTGTTCAACATTTCCCTCACAGTTTTAATTTTGACCCAGGGGTTGGAAAAAAAAGAAGATGTATACACATTCAGACTCTCTGTTATAAAATGGAAACACATTTACAGGATTCTATTCTTGGACTCCATGCCTTCTTTGGATGAAAGGAGACTAGCGTTTTTGTCCAGAAAGGAAAGGTGAAGCCGCTCACCATTCTCCACAAGCACCCAGAGTTTGCTGTTTCATTCAAGGAGCTAGGAACATCTGAAACTGTTTCTTCAGAACTGTTTTCCAATCTGGAAAAGTTTGTTTGTCACCTGTACGGAAAACCAGCTTACTCTAGCACAAACAAGTTTCGTCATGACCTTGTAAGACTAAAGTACATAACAAAAGGTCAAAGCTTACTGTCATGCTTTGATGGATTTGATACCATGCGAGAAAAGCCCTGAAGCTGCACACCCTAAGCGTAAACTATTAATAGTATTAATCTTTAAATATGGTAGCAAGCACATCTGGCTCAACCATTA